TTTATAACAGAAACAAAGAAAAATGCGGTTTTTTTTCAAAATTTTTGGTCTTTTTTTGTTAATTTAGCAAAAAAGAAAACCCCCAGCGGTGATTAAATACCACCAAAAGAAAGCTCTAGTTGTGTGAAGAAATTGATAAAATTTTAGTTTGGGTACAATATTGTATGACCGCGCAATTGTCATTCAAAGTGTGAGAGCGCTGAAACCTGAAAAATGGCCTGGGCAGGAAGGTGTAAAATTGCACGGTATTGAAACGGTTAAGAGAAGATTGGGAAACAGATTATTTTTATTAAGTTGATCACCAAACCAAAAGTCTGGAGCCCTGAGTTCTAAGGAGAGGAGGTGCTAGGATCTTTATGAATACTCTGGGAGCAGACAGGCCAAAGGGCAGGGTAATAAACTGGAAGTGATTTTCTGCCACTGCTCAGCACAGAAAGTGCTAATGAGGTGGATAAATGGGAACATGAAGATGGGCATCTTGGATGTCTATGCATGCCAGGTATTCCCCTCGTCTCAGAGGGGAAATTAATGACCTTGCAGCTTCTGTGAAATTGTGGATTTTGAAGGTATTTGTTGAGTGATTTTAAATCTAAAATAGGACAAATACTCCCGCTGGGCTTTTGTACCATGAAAAGGTTTGAATAAAACTCTCTGAACCTGTCTTCTGGAGGTACTGACACAACTACTCCCTGGGACAAGAGTTGGTTTAGGGCATTTTTCAAAATCTAACTGTCCTTGAACAATCTTTGGTTAGTTTGAGGGGGTAGAGTACTGCAACCCCTTGAAACCAGTGAATGAGCCCACAGGTCTGGGATGTCTGTGACCGGGAGAGAGGCAAACTGTAACAGACACTCCCCACACTTAGGAGTAAGGGCGCCAAGGAAGACGTGCAGGCTATGTGGTCCAAGTCTTGCACTGAAATGAAGAGCTGAGCTTAGGTTTGGAAGGTGAAACTTGTGTAAAGCGATTATATGCTCTGCGTTTTGCAGAAGTAGAGGCTCTGCATAAGGCACAAAATTCTGCACATGTGAATGGAGATTAGGGCCATTCTGAAAATTTGTCTTATGGAATGTTCTACAGCATCCACACAAAAGAGCTGAAGGTAACTGCTGTAATTACTCTGTTAAAGCACAATTCTTAAAAGTCTCATTTCACATATTGAAACTGCAGAGATACCTGGATGCAGTGCTAGGCCCACCAAAGTAAAGAGCCTTTAATAGTGTCTCAGACTTTCTATCTACAGAATCTTTTAGAGAAGGAACACCTTCAATAGGTACAGTTAGATGGTTAAGACTGATATAGCAGAATCAACCACAGGAATAGACCACTATTTCTGTGGCCTCTTTTTCCATTGGACCAACTGTCGTAAATTGCATTTTAAAATCTTTAAAGACATTTCCTGTTCATGAACAGATTTAAACCAAAATTTTAACCAAAAAGGGGCACGGCGAGACAGGTTGATACTGCTACACAACAAGGCTTTTGCAAGGTGGCAGCCTTATTCAAGTTAGCAACCATGGTGTGTGAAGCTCCCTCTTCAATAGAATGGCAGTCTAGGGAGGAAAAAAAACTGCAGCATCTTCCTCAAATACTGCCTCAATGTCCACTTTTATTCCCTTCTGTGTCTGCCTCATCTGGGACAGGCATAATAGGATTTGAATCAGGTACAGAAATGGAAGTAGGAGAAGAAGTGTAGTGTTTTTCTCCATCATAGGCAAAGATGGCTATATTAAAGGCCATTATTTGTCTCAAGAAATTGTGACATAGATGTAGAAAGGTCTGGTTTTGACAGGTAGATCACTTGTTGCGTGCCTGAAATGGAGTTAGAGTCAGATGCAAAGACAAGTGTTAGAGCTGCCTCCTGCTTTGCTGCAAGGGGTACGGCGTCACTCTGAAATTGAGTGTTCTGAGGGCATTTGGCAGAGCAAATGTTCACCTGCAGTTCTGCCTTTTGGCTGGTTTCTGCCACAGCTACATGTAAAGGTATTTCTCCTGTGGGGTACTCATGGAGTAGGGTGCAGAATACAGGGAAAGCTGTAGAGTACCACATAAAGGCTCTAGGCAGAAGTGGTTCATTGGTGTGGGCTTTTTTTCAACACATGTGCAGCAGACCACAGTGCTGCTGTTTGCAGTCTCTGTCTGAAGCGGATCAAGCATGGCAAAAAAACACTAATCACTTGGGCAGCACATGCTTGACAAGACACATAATGACCTGTCATGCAGCCCATTGGCAACATCACCTGAAAGACATACATCATAAAAAAGTGCAGACTTCTCCTTGCTCCTCTTCTGGGATCTCTACCCCTACTATACCTCAAGTCTTCTCAACAGCCTCCACTGAGAAGGATGATGGTATAGCAATGGGTGCCACAGGTCCTTGCATCCAATCTGCTAGCTGGACACCACCTGTTGATTTCACCAGCCAAATTTAGCTACCCCAGTTGCTGAACCGTGTAAAAAAAAAAAAAAAAATGCTGTCCCACCCATCCAAATGCTAGATTGGCCAAATTGCTAGCATTACAACTGCTGCCTTTCCATCTGGTGGACTCTGCCCTCTTCCGTGAATTTGCGGAATGTACTGTACCACAGTGGCAGGTTCCAAAAAGAAATTTCTTTTCACATAAGGACATTCCTGCTCTGTACCATCATCTGGAAGGCAATGTTTTAGCCTCATTGGACAGGGTGGTCTGCAGCAACGTCCACATTGGGTAACTCTGCTGGCAGCTAGCAAGGATGCAGGACAGGGTTCAGTGCTGGAACTTTTCGCCACCACGCCTCCAATAGGCTGGTGGTGATTCTGCCACATCTGTCTGCTCCACCTCCTCCTCTTTTGCCTCCTCTGCTGAATTGTCCTCTGAAATAGCAGTGGGGGGGGGGGAGCTTGTGAGGGTGATTTATTTTAATGTGAAACTAAACCCAGGACCCTGCATTCACTATATCTGGTCTCCCACAGTACGCACAACATCGATGAAATTATTTTAGTAAATATAAATTGCTAAATTCCTTTTCTCATCAGCAGTTAGAGCAGTCTAGTGGCTTCAGCAGAGCACTGGTTAAAGCTTGTAGGAGGAGCTTTCGTTCTGCTCTGGGAGGATATGAAACCCTTGGCCAATGCTGATTGGCGCTGTGCTGATCACATGCACTCTCTCAAGAAAAAAAACAAAAAACACCTCTCTAGCAATACACACCAAACTGAGCATGTGCCTACAGATTCAGTCTGTATCAGGTGGTCATTTCAACGAGAGGAGTGGCAGAGAAGAAAGGATCAAACAGCCTTTTCATACAATGCAGAGGATTAACCCCTAGGTTTCACAGTAAGTATAACAAGCATGCTTCACTGCATACACAGACTTTACTTTTTATTTTACTGCCCTGGGTTTAGTAACACTTTAACCCCTTCACGCCTAAGGGTAAAACAAATCTTAACGCCTAAGCACAATCTTGCAACTTAGACATGTTAGTAAAACCGTCCATATCATCACAACTACTTTGTACATCCAGGTGGATTATACCTTGTTTTTTCCAGGACAAATTGGGCTTTCATTTTGTGATAAATGGTAAAGGATATCTCCTGATTTTTTTTTTATCAAAAAAAAAAACTGACCCAAAACAGTAAAAATAAACAGCATTTTTTAAATTTAGCTGTGTGTTTCTTATTACCATAAGCTACCACCAAAGAATAACCCAAAATAAATTTCCTGCTCTTGACAATCGCAGCGATGCCATATATGTTTATGTTATTTGTTGCTTGTACCCACAGTACAGCCCACAAACAGTAGTGCGCATTTTGTTTTTACCTAAAACACACTGACACCAATTTAAGAAAAAATCTTGACCTTTTATCTTGACCCAAACACCAACCCTGGCACTTAACTAGATTAAACCTTGATCTAGGTATTTTTTCTTTTTTATCTCTTTTTTTTAACAAACTGTTTTTTCCCCCCGATTATGCAAGGAGAGAGAGAGAGATACAATACATCTCTCTTCTCCATTCATAGAGGAAAAGAACAAAAACAAAGGGGGCAGGCTGTATAGTGACTGGTCACTGTGATAGCCAATCAGAGGACCCGGAATCATTATAATGGGACCCGGGGCTCTCAGTAAAACCCTGGTGTTTGTGCTGGGAGCTCGCTGTGCGCTCACACCCAGAAAGATCGCAGTGTAAGGGTACGCCGCTTTGCCCAGAGCCGCCGCTCACCCGTACATTGTGGGCAAGCAGCAAGTCGTTGAAAAAAAAAAAACCTAAAAAAAAAAATAATTTTTTTTTTTACTATAAAAAAAAAAAAAAAATTTCATCAGGGTAGTTAAATTTTACCAAAGTAACATTGTACTACTGTGAGGGGTGAACGGGGATTATTTTCAACTGTCATAAATGGGTTAAGTTCATGACAGCTCAAAATACTAGTGATCTGTGATTGGCTATAGCTAATCACATGGTACAGGGGGCTGCGATTGTACCATGTGAGAGCTGTGGGCGAATCAAGCTCAACCAGATTGATTCATAACAGCTTTGTTGACATTCTGATAATGTGATTGCATTGCAATCACATGATCACCGGGTCCTGATTACTGATGTGTACAGCGCTTGCAGGGGGTGGGGTGGGGGTGTTATACACACAGCAATCGCGGTCCCTGTGTTAGTACAGCCAGAGTGAGATACCGCCAATACCTGTACAATACCACACGCTTGAAGTACTGTGAGCGGTCGGCAAGTGGTTAAACGAAATACAGTAAAAACATAATATAATGCACTTACAACTTCACATGCTATCAACTAGCAATAAGGGAATAACTGCCGATAATCATATGAGAGGGCTGCACCACTTGCTTGTCGTGCTTGGGCTAAACATGTATGAATTTCATATCAGATACTTTTTTATGCATTTAACCTTACATTTTTTGTTTATATTTATATAGTTATTAGTGCTTTACAGCCAAGTAACTGTAATAAAATATTAAACAAAAAATATGAAAAGAGAAAGAAAAACATATACACTTACGTCAAACGGGCTTTCCTTATATAAGCAGGCGTCTCAATCAGCGCTGAGATTATAGAGTGTTTAACTTTTGCCGGATATTCTGGACTGACGACATCTGCAAAGATTACATTTCACAGTAAAAAAAAATCTTGCATACCTCTACCCAACATATTTCAGACAGTATACTTAAACACAATGCAATAATGTGAAAATCTACAAAATCACATTTGAAAAAACTATATTAGTAACATCACCTGTGAATATGTTATTTAAATTGCTGTAATCCAAATGGTCTAAAGTAGTTGTTCTCAACCACCAAGCCATGGTCCCAGAGTTCACTGAGTGTAATTGCAATGCGTAGCCAGACACAATGGAACTGTCATGTGGCAATGTCAAAACTTTGTAGATTGGTTAGAACTTTGCTCATGAAAAAAGCACCATCCATTTGTCTTAAGAGTCCCCAATTCTTTATTGTTGATAAAATTAGAACAGTAGAAAGACGAAAGGTAGCCAAAGCATTTTGGGGACCAAACAATTACCGTTCAATAGGATCTATATAAGAAGTAAAAAAGTTGCACAAATTACTTAAGCCATCTATTATGACTAAGGTAAGAAATGGCAAGAAAGTCGAGCAAAAATAAATAATATATTTTTTTATTCCAGTGCCTCCGAATGCCTCCCAGTGTTATCTCCATGACCATGGTCACTGGCTTTGAGCTTGTAACGCGCACTGAGGAAAGCCTACAGTCTACAATGTAAGCAGTTTCAGCACAGAAGAGGATTCTATAAAACTGTGCAAGACTGTAGCATTGCCCAAATATGGCCAGTGATCATGGTCATGGAGATAAAACTGGGAGGCACTCGGAAACACTAAAAAAATTGGACAGAAACTGAGTGGGTGCAGCTGCTAGTATGTGGATGCATTACTCAAACACTGAACAATCTGCATGCTGGTCCTCAAAGACAGTGCCCCCTTCTATGATTGGCTGAAATCTGGTGGATGGATACAGAGAGAAAGAGCCAGTGCTGGAGTGTGAAACAGGGAGCACTTTTTCTCCCAGATATCGTTTGTGCATGGTGGAGGAGCAGTGCTCTTTTGGTGGAGCAGCGATCGTTTTCTATCATCTAGTGAATTTCTTCTGCCCAGCTCTGTACCATCGTGTGGACCTTCACTGACCAAGAGAATCTATCTACCCTTCCCATGCTGATGACTACTCTATGAACTCCATCTTTTCTACATTGCACTTTTAATGTGCACTTCTGGTTAGTGTGCATTGTTACCCTAGGTCACCGTTGTTGGAACTTTTTGATTACTTTCATATATTGTGTCACAATTATATATTTTCTAGCGCTGCACTTTTATTTTATTTTCATGTGAGGATTATTTTGGTTATCCTGTGTGCTTTAGCTGCTTGTACATTGAAAGCGCTCACTTATTATTCTCTGTTTTATGCTTATCATGATTACCTGGATGTATTCAACAAAAAGAGTGCTAATGCTCTTCCTCCTCACCGCCCTTATGATTGTCCTATTGAACTTCTGCCCGGTGCTGAAATTCCTTTTAGGCGAATTTACCCCCTCTCCGAACTGGAATTAGAGGTCCTCCGGCGTTATATAGATGAAAGCTTGGAAAAAGGGTTTATTAGGCCCTCTACATCACCAGCGGGAGCTGGCATCTTCTTTGTCGAGAAGAAGGACCATACCCTCAGACCATGGGTAGATTACCGTGATCTGAATAAAATAGTCAAGAATCGCTATCCTTTTCCCCTGATTCCCGAATTGTTCCAAAGGTTACGAGGGGCATGTGTCTTTTCAAAGCTGGATCTGAGAGGCGCTTACAATTTAGTCAGAATTTGCAAAGGGGATGAATGGAAGACGGCCTTTCGAACACGCTTTGGGCATTTCGAAAACCTAGTGATGCCATTTGGCCTCTGTAATGCCCCAGCAACCTTCCAACACTTCATGAACGATATATTTCGGGACTATCTTGATTTATCGTTTACTTGGATGACATCCTTGTTTTTTCCAATTGATCGACACAGGGATCATATAAAGAAGATTCTGGATAGATTACGCCATCACCACCTCTATGCCAAAGCTGAAAAGTGTGAGTTCGAGAAACAGACTATTCAGTTCCTTGGACTTGTGATCACCCCCGATAGCATTGCTATGGATCCCCAGAAGGTTATCTCCGTATTAGAATAGCTCGTTCCAAGAGACAGGAAAGCAGTACAACGTTTTGTGGGATTTGCCAATTTTTACAGAAAATTCATTAAGAACTTTTCAGGTATCATTGCACCAGTAACACAGTTAACCAGGCAACATGTTACTTTCAAGTGGCCTCTTGAGGCTCAAGCAGCCTTTGAACAATTAAAAACCTTGTTCACCTCTGCTCCTATCCTGAAGCACCCAGATCCTGCCTTAACCTTTGTCCTTGAAGTAGACTCTTCTGAAAATGCTGTTGGAGCTATATTTTCACAACGACAGGGACTCAAAACCCTCCTTCACCCTGTTGCCTTCTTCTCTAGAAAGTTAAGCTCCTCTGAAAGGAATTATGACGTGGGAGATGGAAAGCTGTTAGCCATCAAGGCAGCCCTTGAGGAATGGCTCTACTTGCTGGAAGAAGCTTCCCATCCTATCCTCAGTTTTACAGATCACAAGAACCTAGAGTACTTGAGAACTGCAAAACGCCTAAGGCCACAACAGGCAAGATGGGCACTGATCTTCTCCTGCTTTGTGTTTCACTTGACATACCATCCAGGATCAAAGAACTGCAAGCCCGATGCACTCTCACGCATGTTTCATGACCCAATTGTACCATCCGAACCTGACACGATTCTGCCAGCTAAGAACCTTTTACTCCTGCAAACAGACCTTGTAGCACAAATAAGGGAAGTGGTTGATGATCATCCACCCCCCTTGGAGATGCATCTTCAGCTAAGAGAAGGTCTGTACCTTCACAAGGAATGAATTTACATGCCAGAACAACTCAGAACTCTCATCCTTAAAAGATGTCATGATCATCCTTTAGCGGGTCACTTCAGGATCCACAAGACCTCAAATTTTGTCTCCCGTTCCTTCTGGTGGCCAAACTTAACGAAGGATTGTAAGAACGATGTTAGATCTTGCTCAGTATGTCTTCGAAACAAGTCTGATAAAGCCAAAACCTGCGGCCTGTTGGAATCTCTGCCAGTACCCAAAAAGCCATGGAGTATCATTTCTCTGGATTTTATTGTAGAGCTTCCCCCATCTGAAGGGTTCACCACTAAATTTTGTCGTGGTTGATCGTCTGTCAAAGATGGCTTACTTCATTCCCTTGAAAGGGATGCCTTCTGCCGCTGAGACTGCTTCTGCTTTTATCAGAGAAATAGTAAGATTACATGGTGTTCCTAACAATATCATGTCCAATCGGGGAGTACAGTTCACTTCTAAGTTCTGGAAAGCTTTGTGTGAGGCACTAGAGATTGAACTTTGCTTCTCTTCTGCATATCATCCGCAAACAAATGGACAAACAGAGAGGACAAACCAGACTCTGGAATACCTACGATGTTTCTCATCTTATTCACAGGATGACTGGGTGTCTCCCCTTCTGTTAGCTGAATTTGCATACAACTCCATCCACTCTGCTACCGAACAGTCCCCTTTTTACTCCAACTATGGATATCACCCTTCCTTCCTAAAATACCAGTGGAACCCGCTGTCCCGGCAGTACAAGAAAGGATGGATTTTCTCAGTAGGAATGGCCAAATACTACAAAAACTATTTTAGAGGCTCAAGCAAGTAACAAAAATTTTTTTGACAGAAAAAGAAAGGGCCACCTAAATCTGAAACCAGGAGATAAGGTATGGTTAGCTACCACATACCTAAAATTGAACTGTCCTTCAAAGAAGCTTAGTCCAAGGTACCTGGGACCATTTACAATTAAGAGAAAAATTAACCCTGTGGCTTTCAAATTCATACTGATTCAGAAAAAATGAGGAAGGGTTGTAACAGCGCAAACACTGCAAAGTCCTGGGAAATGGTAGTATGGGGTGATGGTGGTATTAGTGGCTACTGTATGAAGAGCGTAGGATTCCGTGTGGCACTGAGGGCAAGGCTTCCAAATAAGCTGTAGCAACTTCTGTAGATGAGAAAAAGGAGAGAAGCGCCTCTAAGTGCAATAAGTCTTTTAATTCAAGTCTAAATGTAGAAACACTCACATGTGTGAAGTAATCATAAGCATAAAAACCGTGGTTAACAATAGTTAACGGTGGGGTGGTAACCCGGGTGAAGAGCCGTCATCTCTCTGCGATGTGGGGAGGTCAGCTCTCGGCTGGAACAGCGTGGTGGCTGGAGGGGGAACAGCGGTGAGGCCAGCCTTCATGCACGTCCTCCCTCAAAGCCGGATGGAACGCACGCTGGAACGTAGCGGCGGCGTGGCCGTGATGACGTCAGATCCCAGGGTGCACTGCGACGCATTTGGGAGCATGCACTGGTAGTGGAAGGCGGAAGTGCACTCCTTTTTCAAGCAGGGGGAAGTGGATGAACAGGGGTGAATATATAGGGAACGTGAAATTTTTTTCAAATTCATACTACCCAAGAATATGAAGATTCATCCGGTATTCCATATCTCCCTGTTAAAACCAACTATACCAAGTGTATTTCCAAATTGAGATCCGGAGATTCCTGCCCCACTGCTGATCGAAGGGAATAAAGAATACGAGGTCTAGGCTATCCTGGATTGTAGAATAGAAAGAGGGGTGGGCAGACCCAGTTCCTCATCAAATGGAAAGGCTACGGTCCAGAGGATAATTCCTGGGAACCATCCGCTAATGCCCATGCTCCACGATTAGTTCGAGCTTACCTTCATCTTCCTCCTGAAAAACAAGCTTTAGTAGGCATCCCCTAAGGAGGGGGGGGGGGGCAATGTAAGGGAATTCCAGTGAGACGGCTGGTGAATAGACGTGCGCATGCGCACAGAAATGCACGACCATGCACATAGACGGCGAAGGTTGGTGCCAGACGGACTATTTAAAAGGTGCCTGTGCTGAGTGCTGACTGGTCTGCAGCTGTTCCCAGTTTCCTGCTCGTTCCTGTGTGATTTCCTTGTTGCTGTCCACCCGTTGATGACCCTGG